TTCAATTTAACCTAGCATTAATTTTAGAATAGATGTCAGCGGATTGGCAGTACTTTTAGTTTTTGTGAAATATCAGTACAACGATGAGCTTTGCGAAGATTTGTTAATGCGCGATGATCTAAAAAATACTACTGCGGATTTTGATATTTTCAATAAGATCGATGATTTCATTGGATGTAATGAAATAGATTGAAAAAAGTTCATCGACATCTGCACTGACGGAGCTAAAGCTATGCAAGGTCCAATTTAAAAGGTTTAAAGAAAACTTTTACCATTTTAACGGCATATTTGTGAAAAAAACTAGGAAAATGAAACAGGCTGCACGCATCAGCAGACATTCGTTGTCAGTTAACAAGGTTTGAAAAAAATTGCTGAAGATTTTCCCATTAAATTGTTATAAATTATTGTAAAATAATTTAAATTTTGTTTATCGTTAATTATTATTATTTAATTTTAGGAAATGTAATTTATGCATATATGACTTCTGTGATTTTATATAAAATACTTATCAAATAATAATAAATGAATGTATGTACAGTACCTGTTTAAATTGATTATTATTTACGTAAAATAAGTAATCCACTTTTAGTTATAGTTAGTTAGTGAGAGTTTTTTATGGCGCTCAGTTATAAGGGCTGTATGCATCTAACACAGTAATTTTAAAATTTACATACAAAAATATAAGGAGTACTTGAGAAACAACTAATGGGCAAATGGGGTACATCAACAAAACAGGTTGAGAACCACTGGCTTAACCCGTAAGTACCCATAACTTTATTACTTCATTATTTATTTAAATAACATTGTGCAGTTAGCCGGGGAGCCGCCAAATTATGCAAAATTTGGCGGTCCCCGGCAAACTTCTTATGGGCCCCTTGTTAAGAAACACTGCCATAGACCATCCACTTAGACTGACGTATACTAATTGCATACACATATGTAGCGATATAACAGATTTAAATAGACATATTTAAAAAATAACTTTATCTTCGATTCACTTTATCCACATCTTCACTTCTAATTTCAAATTAATGTTATTAAATTATTCCAAAAACTATACTTTTTGTTTTTGCTTTACACGTGATATCAGTAACTACAATTTTTAATTTTATAAAAGTTTTCATGACAGAACCGTAGAAAAAACTTACAAAACTGCTCGAAAACAGCGAAAGTATCTGCAACCAAATTGATAAAACATCTTTCTTGTCTTGCATCGGCTAGTTGGGCATGAGCTTGTAGGCTATATCGCTCTGCGGTAAAGTGCGACGTAATTGTCGTGTAATAGTAGTTGTATGCGTTTATGATGGTCGTTACGCGGGGAATAATGCTTTCAAGGAGGTCTTTTAAGGGTAACTGGCCCCTATTCGGGCGTTACAGACGTTGAGAAAACCCGGATAACTCCACGTGGCCAGCCCGTCTTGGCCAGGTGTCAACCCACGACCTAACTCCCAATGTTCGGTTGAACGGAACGATTGGCCACTGGTGAGCCAAACATCGTTCCTCCGCATAACGACTTCAGCGCCAGCTATCGGATACCCTCTACATTAACTCTAGAACATAGCTGTGAGATCAGTAACTTATATCTGTCGATTCTGACAAGGGTTTCGAGCAGTGGCGTGCCGTGACATTTGACGATAGGGAAGCTGTGTTTCTGTAAGAAGCTGACTTCCAGAGACAGGCGCGTCTGCGATGGTCTAGGGTCCGTTCGTATCGTTTGTTCGATAAGCCAGTAAAAACCGTAGACTTCTCTAAATGTATTTTTAATATCACAATTACATTCCGAATCGCTAGCCACGATATAAGGGCTACAATTAAAAATAAAATAATAAAAACTTATTTGGTGAAATATAATGAGTTGTGGATGTACCGGAATATTTTGTACATACGTGGTACAAAATATTCTCCAATTGTATTAATATACTTTTAAAGAAAATTATAATTAAATATAGTTTTGTGAAGAAACATACATAAAAATAACATAAAATATTCTATACTTTTTAAATATGAAAACAATCCACTTAGTTAAAATTGCTTCCTACCAGTGGCTCATGGATGCAATCAGAGACGATCTTAGTTGGTGTGCAGTGCGTGCATGCGTGCTAAATCCCGAGGGTGCCGATACCGGTTAATGTCAATCGCCTCTTTTGTCGCATCACCAGTATATCTCAAAGGACGCAACGGGATTGTTGTAGATTTTAAACGTTGCTCACCATAGCTGTTAAACTCAATAATGATTTGTTTTCTAACTAATTCGATTTAGGACCAGGTGTCCACGGAAATTTCCAAAATTTACAACTTTTACTCACTTTCATTGAACTGGAAAAATTTCTGTTTTTATTACATCTAATAATACGAAGAAATCGGTTCCCACTGTACTCAGCTATAGATTGGTTCGGTTAAGCGTTTGTTTAAGTAAAATTCCGGCTCTTCCATCAGGGTTTTGTTTATGTCCTAATTCCCTAATCTCTTAATTATTTAACTACTTCTTAAGTAGAAATAAGTCGAAACCAATTACTCTGCACTCGAATATTTGTAGTCTCGGGAAAGAAGTGGAAAGACAAATTTTTACGACAACGGATACATAAATCGTAAATTTAACTTTGTGCATCTCATTCATTAAATTTAGTTGTAAATGATGCTGCCAAAGTAACAGTTAATTTTTTAACATTGTTCAAGAATTGTATACCTTTTTTGCATCCCCTTATAGATAGGACATACTAAATCGTAATATCATGGTTTAACATTGAAATCCGTAAGTAATATAAGATGGGAGAGCGGAATAAAAATATCAAATATTTTAATGGATTTTTTAAAATTAACTCCTGCCAAATATACAGAACTATCGTATAAACGTATCAGTAAATTCCTATCGGTTGGGTTAAATTATAAATGTACTCGCGATTTACGTAACGGGGTGAGGGCGGACAAATATCTAGCGGGCAGATGACTGAAGGCCCAGAACCGGTCCTGGATAGAATCATTGGAAGCTTTCACTGTGAGGTTGGTGCTCTGTAAAGCGCATGCGCGAATGCGTATAATGGGGCCGCTCGGAACTTGACTCGGTTTCGACAATACAGCGTTTCCATTTTGCCACTGATATTCGGATATACCAGGGGTGGCCAACATGCGGCTCTTTAAAGGATTATTTGTGGCTTTCGATAGATGTACCCGAGTTCCCTTTTCATTTTTGTGTTATTATATTTTAAAAAATTATTATCGTTCCGTATGTGTTTCAAAATGTCTTTTAAATTACTAACAACAAATATGAAAGACTAAGTGCAACGTTGTAACAAATTTCATTTCCGTCCAAGTTAAGAATGATATGACTCATCGAAAACTGCGCGANTCTTTGCATCACTCTCTTGTGGAAAAAATGTGATTTATGTAATTTACACTTATTCATTGGTTAGAAAAACTAAAGCATTTTCAGGCATACTCAAAATTTCAAATTAGCATTTTCATCTAAAAACAATTTCAGGATGGATGAAATTGCTAATTAGTAATAAGAAAGATAATTTCGATATATTATGCATATTTTGGATGATGGTTATTTAATCTATTCATTCTTGGCCCCGGAATGCATGCTAATTCTAGTTATTTGTAGATCTCTTCCCTTTGCACTCGTTTTAATATTTCTGAATGTAGTTGGAGGTACTGTAGCATCATTGCAAAAAATCATTAGAGCCATTCTTAGATCTAGCTATGGTAAAGCAGAATCGAGTTTGCCTCTATAGAAATTTGTAATAAGATACACAATGCGGTTATAATAAAATATTAATTTTAATAAATTCAAAGTACGTTATTATATGAAAATAATCGCGCAATATGTATTTATATAATCGCCGGTTTCCTTGTATTTAGAAAATACAAGGGAACGGGCGCTTTCACCGCTTCCGAGGACGGCACGCCACTGGTTTCGAGTTTAAAAAATCGTTACTTTTGAAATTTAGATTGCTTATTTTAAAGGCGATCGATTTTTTATCGATTAGATATTAACATTAATGAATGAAATAATTTTCACAAGCAATTTTATTATTTACTAGCAGACCCGGCCACGCGCTGCTGTGGCTCAAAATGTATCTATTATAAATGTATAACGCTTCCCCGCGGGAGGGAATTTCGAAAAATCCCTTCTTAGTGCACATTGTCTCGACCTACCCTAATAAAACGCAATCAAAAACTCAAAAAACCGCATCTAAAATGGAATAAAGAAGCCGAGTTTTTCACGGTAAGCTTTAATTTTGTTCCTCTCCCCCACGGGGGAATTTCGACAGCTATAGTATATAAAAACGCGCTATTCGAATGCAGCGTTGTGTCAAAATTTCAAAGCAATCGGTGAAGATTTGAGAACATTTACATTTTTATTTATGTAGATTTCTAAAGTGTAGCGCAGTTTCAATAAGTTAAATATAATTTTATTATTTAGGGTTAAATGAAAACTGATGCAATTTATAGTGTATAAGGATGTAAGCTTTATCGCCGAGATCAGTGCCGGCCCGAGGCAAGTTTTAGGATGGAGCGAGATCCTATTATGGCGCCCCCCTTGATTGCTCCTAATTTACACCCTTTAATTTTCTTTACCACTGAGGCGCCCGATAGGACTTAGCGCCTGGAGCGACTGCTCCGTTCGCCCTATGGTAGGGCCGGCTCTGGCCGAGATAAATGTTTTTATATAATATTTCATTAAAATAGTGAACGAAATTGACGTTTGTTGAATTATTTTTACTTTTCACACTTAATTCTTACGAGAAATGTGTAAAAACTTTCACGACAGTAGGAAAGTTGGTTTAAAAATACACTAGAACCTTCAGAAGATACAGGCATTTACTTCATTGACAATAAATAAATTATTTCAACAAATATTTTATCAAACGTTTGATTATTCTATAAAAAATTAATAATTTAGTTATTTAGACTTTAAGAAATATAATAAAAGAATTTAAAAGAAATTTGAATAATAATTTTTAAGTTTAATTTCCAGCCATGCAGGGGGCGCCGTCGCCGACGTCGGTCGTACGGTAAGGGTGTGTTATTGTGTTTTTAATGGTAGAACAATGACGTTTTTGTTCTGGTTTGTCAGCACGTGTGGACTGTTGGGTGCTTGCATACCGCTTCTGGTCAAAATGATTCTTCAGATCATAACGAGCGAAAGAGAACTGGAAAGTAATTTACGAAGACAGGTGTGCGACTTGAAAGCCGAACTGGGAAGCATCAACATGGTGGACGAATTCGCCAAATATGCTAAAATTCAACGCAAGATTAACAAAGTGACCGACGAATTATCGCATCAAGCGCAAGTTCGTTCTACTTACACGTTTAAAGTCAGGATAATAGTAACGGTTGTACTTTACGCCATTATGGCTTGCTCTCTGCTCTATCTGATGATATATTATAATTCTGTACCCATCCTGCAGCTGCCCAGCAAGTGGCTCTATCCCCTCAATCGCTTCCTGGCTCTACCGTCCGACGTGCCGGACGGCATCGGGATACCGGCCTGGCTCCTGGTCTGCAACACGGTGGGAAGAGTGGTGGCCAAGTACTTGGACTGATTCGCCGGAATCTCCGGAGACCGTTTGCCTGGCACCGCGACGGTTTCGAATCTACTGTGTTAATTTATTCGTGTTAGACCGATGGGGATCCGGCAGAGAGTGCGGACGCCCGGCGAGAATTTTGTGGACGTTGCGTCCGTGCCTCCATTTACTTTTTGTTGTATTATTGTCTATTTTTGTCGAGTAATTAGATGTACAGAGATTTAAAGGACGACTAAAATCCGTGTGTTAATCTCGACGATACTTGCATCAGTTTCTGGTTCCGGTTTTTTAAATTTTTGTGGGTGGACGGGCAAAAGACGACTTAGATCTCGCGACGGAGAGTGATTCTGGTCCGTCGAAGTTGCGGCGACGTATTAATTTTTACTAATCGTGTACTTACTTACGTTTGTCGGCAGAAGTAATCGGTGCCGTTTTCTTGGGACGTTTGGCTCAAACGTCAAACTCATCTATGCAAAAATATTTGCATCGTAAATCCTTCCTTTAAATGATAAGATAATGTCTGTTATATAAATTTTTAAAATGATACGACAAGATTTAATTTGCATAAAATACTTCTTTTGTTGGTTTTGTGGACCTCTTGTCTTCGCCTTCTCTCTGTCTTTTGCTATTCCTTATTCATTGTCTTCTAATCTATAATTATGCATTTAGTAGCATCGTTCTTTGCATCACTCTCTTGTGGAAAAATGTGATTTATGTAATTTACACTTATTCATTGGTTAGAAAAACTAAAGCATTTTCAGGCATACTCAAAATTTCAAATTAGCATTTTCATCTAAAAACAATTTCAGGATGGATGAAATTGCTAATTAGTAATAAGAAAGATAATTTCGATATATTATGCATATTTTGGATGATGGTTATTTAATCTATTCATTCTTGGCCCCGGAATGCATGCTAATTCTAGTTATTTGTAGATCTCTTCCCTTTGCACTCGTTTTAATATTTCTGAATGTAGTTGGAGGTACTGTAGCATCATTGCAAAAAATCATTAGAGCCATTCTTAGATCTAGCTATGGTAAAGCAGAATCGAGTTTGCCTCTTTTGCCGTATCTCGAGACGAACCGTCGTACATTGTCTGAACTTGGGAAAATAGTGTCGATAGGTTCCGTTTCTGACCCGTCGTCCGTTCGGTTTGTCGTCTGCGTATTCTTTAACTAGGCGATCCGGGTCACAATCTCATCTATACAAATTTTCTAACAGTACATACAATGGAAATGGGGATCATATATACCAAAAAAGAATCTGATACTAATAATACAAGCTTATAGTACAATGTCAATAAATCTTTAAAACTGCTCTATGATAATCTTCCAATATTTCATAACACAAGCCCCATTGGATGACAATATCTGACTGAAGTTTTAAACACACGGCATGTTTCTAATCAATATGCATTCTTATAGGTTTATCAGTATTTTTACATATAAAAAATAAATACTTTTGGTGAAAAAAACAAATATATTTATTTGTTTCAATTACAGTTCGTATAATTTTTATAAATGTGGTTTGTTTGATTCTTTCACCCAGCTAAATATCATATTATATAAATTTAATTAGTAAATATTAAGTTGTGAAATAAAAATGAGATCAAATAATTTGTTTTATGTATAAATTGTGGATAGTTACCTTCCTTGGCTGTTTATTTTTTGCAAATTTCTCTTTCTGCCCAGCAGTTATCGAGAGGATCTTTTTAATTGTATTCGTTGTGGATTCGGCCAGGCCTACAATGGAGGTTGCTGGGTGGGGAGACATGTGGCCCAGTATATCTGGCATGGACCACCCTCGAAAAATTCCAGAAGTGCTTGCCAGAATTTGGAACAGTAGGCCAACACCTTAATCATCTGGCCATAAATTACAATAGATAATAAATAGTAAACAATGTTTCTGGTCTTTGTAGAAATTTATCAGTAATTGAATTATGCACTATTATTGTTACAGTAAGATCTGTGTTAACATGAAATTGAAATGAAGAACTTATCACGCTTGAATTATCTGTATTCCAGTTTTCAATTAGAACAGTACTTGGGAAAACAGTTATCCTTAATCCAACTGAACTGGCAAAACATTTTTCTACAGCTCAGTTACATTAATTGAAAGTAATATTCTTCGTAAGCACATGCATTGCAGACATCCTACATCATCTCTAAAAAGTGCTTTTACGAGGGTTATTTTTTTCAACTTTCACTAATGCATGAAAAAAAATTGGAAGCATGTGAGACACGGACAGGGTGCACATCTAGTGAGTAGTATTCCCTCACCACTTAGTGTTGCGCCAAGCTATTTTAGACCTTTGCTACTGCACAGTAAACACTGTGCCACCAATCCAGTTTTCTGCCAAAGTGAAGTACGAGCAGTAATTCGATTTCTACAGGCCAAAGGGCTGAATAGGGGTGAAATCCATTGAAAGATGTGTAATGTGTATGGTGAGAGCTGTAATGTGTATGGTGAGCATCTGTAGCTCATGAGGCTACAGATGCTTGTGTGAATGGTGCAGGAAATTCAAACAAGGATGTGACAATGTTCATGATGAGGGCAGTCAAGGGAGGAAGTACGTGATGACCAACAATTTGGTGGACAAAGTGGATGAATTGGTGCGAGAAAGGCGTCAGTTCACACTTTCTGAGCTCGGTGAGGAGTTTCCTCAAATTTCAAGGTCCACACTGTATACTGCTGACTGACAGTGTTAAAGATTAGCTGAATGGCCTGATGGCAATATTCTTTGACATGGGTATACAAAAACTTGTGTCATGGTATGATGTCTGCCTGAATCAAGAAGGCAATTACAGTGGTACCTCGGGATACAAAATTAATCTGTTCCAAAACTGAGATCGTATCATGAAAATGTAAGGTGAATCATTTCTCCCCATACGATTACATGTAAAACCAAATAATCTGTTCCAAGATGAAAAACACACTCAAATTAAAGCTAAGTAGTATTTGAAAAAATAATTTTACTAAGGAAAACATTGAAAAATGCATTTTGTAGTTGTAAATGTATAAATAACCATAATAGAATAATAATTGATTAAAAAATGTAGTTTTATTTGCACTTTACCTTTGAGGATAGATGACAGTGGAGATGTAAATTGGTGGCGAAGGAGAAGGGAAATAATACAAAAACATAACTTACATAACATAATGTAACAATAACTTAACACTAACTTTTTTTATCTTTTCTGTTTTATATATTTTTTAAAACTTTTTATTTACTACTTTTTGCTTTCTTTCCTTCACTTCCATCAGCACTTTCACTGGATAGAGGTCGCTTGGTAAAATACCTATCCAAAGAGGTTTAGCTTTGCCTACTTTTTAAAATGTTTCTAAAATGACTTAGGCAAATGTCATTACTCTAAGCAGCAATACAGCCAGTGTGAACCTTTTTGGGATGTTTCTTTTCACTGGTACAGGAGCTCATGAGACTCCCATCTCATCCCCTTTCCTTTCCTCTTTCACTTTTCCCCTTCTCCTCTTCTCTACATACTTTCCTATCTCCTCTCTTTCACCCCAGGCAATACCACTGAGTCGTCCTGGTTTTCATCCCCTGTCATATAGTGTGTCTATAGAGTGTTTCTTTTCACTAAAATCAGTTCACTTTCTGATAATACCTCGAGATTTCCTTTATCGAGCGAGATCCTTCCACGATGAAGCAAACATGCAGGCTGAGACCAAGAACAGAAGTGAATAAAAAATGGCGCTGCGAACTAATGTAACGTCGTATGGTGAGTTTTTGTTCGAACTGTGGAACAAAATTATGTTCAAATTTCATGTCATATCCTGAAAATTTCGTATGCTAGGGCATTCGTATCCTGAGGTACCACTGTACATGGAAAAATAGGTGAAGACTGACTACCTTCTACAAATAAAGTGGTTTTGTTCTTCATTCTTGTTTTTTATCCTCGGTCGGTGGAGATTATAAAATGCGAGGGTTATTTTTTTTCAAAATCCAGCCTAATTTTTTTCTACTTGCATCTTGACAAAGATTTCCTTTCTGTAAATTTCAACATATTAACAAAATAGATGATTTTATAAAGTCATTACTGTTAAATTTTTTAATTCTGTGCTGGAAGCACTGAGTCTTTGTCAAATCTGATATCATAGGTAAGGCTAAGTCCATATAGAGTAGTCATACAACAAAGGATGACGCCTGATGTCTCTAGTTTGAAACCATCAAAACATTTGAGAATTTCATTACACAAGTGATTGCTTCTGGCACTCGATTTGGAATGTAGTAGAGTGCTATGAGCAATTGGTCGCATAATTGTTTATCGTCTGTCTGTGTGCGTTACAATAAGTGCTAAAGCAGAACGATTATGCAAACAACTATACAAATTCTTCTTTTTCTATAATCCTAAACTATTCTGGTTTAATGTTTCTTCCGGAAATTCCAACATCCAAAGGTTTACGATGACAACCGTGTATATTTTGTAAAGAATTACTTTGAGGATGTTTAAAATTGGAAATTAACATCAAAATATTTGGTGATGGAAGTGTAACCATTATACATTATTAGTTAATTTGTAGCACTGAAGAGAGATTGAAATGTTATGCCATTCTGAAATGCAAGTGCAATAAAAATGTACTATAGTTAATATTTGTCATTGTTAACCTTTGAATATTGAATTATTGGATGAAACATTCAACCTTAATAGTTTAGGATTATAAAATATAGAATAAGAATAGAAAACAGCATCTTGGATTCACAAAAACTATACAAAATGTTTATATTGTGAATCTTGGAGGTGACAAATAAAAGAGCAGGCCACACAAGGAATGGATGGGTGATATGAAGGAATGGTGTAGGAATAATATTCAGGAGCTGGTTCAGTGCTCAATAAATGGCGAAAAAGGATAGCAAAAATAGCATCAGATTCTAGTGGATACTGCTCCCACAGAATGATATTGTGAATAGAAAATTATTTTAAAGATTTATCATAGATTTTGCAATGTCCAAAATAAAGTTTTATCTATAAAAACTTCTTAAAATTTTATTTGTAGGCCTGTGTTGTAATAACAAAATTACATCTTATATTTTAATGCAACAGATATTTATAATTTAACTGAACGTTTCTTGGGAAAATACACAAAACTTGGAAGTACTTTTTGAGAAGCTCGTAAAAATAACACTGGTTATTACAAGAAATGTGATTTATTTGATTTATAAAAATTGAGAAAACTACATTTTCAATTAATTTTGAATTAGTAAAAGATTTCCTTTAATGACATTTTTCATACAAAGTGCTCTTTGACCAATTCAATATAACTCGCTTTAATCAATCAAAATGTTTTTAGCTTCTGGTTGGTGGCAAAAATCGGTTTTCACGATGGCACATAAGTGTTGACAAGGTGGTACGTTAGCCAGTACATCATGATTGGCTGTATGATGCAGATGCCGAGCAGAACGTACGTGCTCATTCTGCTACTTCCCGCATAATGACCAGAACTGGAGTGAGCCAAAATCGATACATGAAGTGTTTTAAGCTACGGAAAAGAAAAATAATTTTAGAATAAATCTAAGAAAATTGTAAAATATATGAACAAATACACTCACCAAAAAATAACCAAGAGACAGACTACTGTAAAGAAGAACGGCAATATATCCTACAGTTTTGAAGAGAATACTAGCTAACAAAGCTACTATCATACTAGAAAATAGTAAATGAAATAAATATATATTTATAACTCAAATTGTTAAAAATAAAATCTCAGAGCTTGCTTACCATACAAATTTATAACTACAAAAGGCAAACCAATCAAATATCTTTAATGTTGAAGATATGTTGAAAATGTATAAACAGAGCATAATAATTAAAATTTCACATATCAGCCACACTAAGACCGAACTGGCTTGCATTCCGAGTTGTTCAGGAGTAAACCTGTAAAGACAACGGACAGAAACTTTGTTATTTCTTGAATTAAAATGCAAAAATTGCACAATTTTATCATATTTCTAACAAACCTATTTTGCATTCCTAATATATATCCAGCAGTCAGAACATATGTCACAAAAGCCATTGCTGAAATGAATAAAAATATAGATTAAACCTCAATATTTTTGTAAATAAATTTGATCAATCTTAATAACAATTAAAGTTTATTTTCTTGTACAGAATTATTATTTTTTTAAATTCATGTATTAGAAGAATTAAAATTAACACTGGAAAGTAATCAGATTTATTCTTAAAATTAGTCACAAATTTCATTTCTTTATGTATTTTGTTATTACAAAACAGCCAAAAACACAAACGGACATATAGCAAAGTCTGACGTCCTATCTCCACAAAGGATATGAGTCTGAGTCAAACCATATATAAAAAACTGGCACACAAACTGGAACTGTATACTAAACAAACAACTTGACACCTAAATGCAAATTCCAGCATATAATGAACAAATAAACTTTAATGTTCAAACGTTTTTTGCCGTTTTTCAGAGGCCCTCGTCAGGAAAGAATGCACAAAACAGAAAAAACAGTTCTACCTTTTGTTCAAAAGCTAAAACTTCAAAAGATAGTTCTACTGGAATTTGCATTTAGGTGTCAAGTTGATTGTCCAAGTCAAACTTCAGAAATTTTCACATATAAACTATCTGAAAATTTCTGAAGTTTAGCTTGTACATCAAATACTGTCTTCTTTCATACCCAACTCGTGTCAACTATGAAAAGAGGCATTCGTAAAGCCCTTTAAGAACTTAATTTAACCATCAAATTACAGTTTCTATTTTTTAATTAGCTTAATAACAATATATTATTATTAAAAGAACACAAAAACTATTTATTTTAACATAAAACATGTTACATCTTATGCCAAAGATGCAATTTACAATCATTTATACCATATTTATTCACATATAAGATGAGGTTTTTATTCATTTATCACAGCTTCAAATTCCTAGGTTGCAAAACAAAAGATTCTTTGCATTTTTGCAAATAATTTTTGTGAACCGTGTATTTGTATTTTTTATTGGATGATTACCTTCCTGTATTTAAGTGTAAGTATCTGGGTCATTTGAATTGTTCTTGTATATTGTCAGGAGTAAAGATGAATAGCAATAGGAAAAGCAAAGCTTTTGAATTGAATTCCAGATTGAAATTCCAAAATCATACGGGAGCCCAATATAAGTTTTAATCCATTTCCATGTGAAAACAGGCAGGATTATTTGGAAATCAGAATTTGGAGAAACTCATAAGTTTGATCGATGGAGAGTGGATTCGACTGTTAAGAATTGGCAAGAAAGGCTCCCAATTGTCCAGCTTTACATGAATAAATTATGTTGTTGATTTTACAAGATTTTTCCTTAAAGTTTAAAATGCCAGTCATTTTTGTGGGACAATGTGTGCATTTACGTTCATTTGGTATTTTACTTGTGATTAAACAAAGTAAAATTAGAATTGTATTAATAAATGTAATTTTCTTTATTTGATCTTTAAAGTCACATCTCGTCCTATATGCAAGTAAATACGGTAATTCTTTTGTTTTTTGTTCAAAACTTATCATACAAAGCACATAATAATAATAAAATTTTCTCATTTCTACTTACATGGTATATAAAGATCAGGAGCATTAATGTCATATCTAGGTTGAATAGGTTCATCTTGGTTATAATGCACAGTCCAATCCTAAAAATAAAAGGCATACTCATTCCAAAATTAAATTTAATAACAGTCATTGTATTCTTTGTTACTTAAATCACTTCTAACAAATTCATGTAAAGCTGTTCTTTTAATGCATAACAAATTAAATAAATTTTTAAACTTTCAATGATAATAAGAATAAATTCATACTTCATAGAAATAAATCATTCAATAGAATATTTTAAACCATTTTTGAAAATTTCTAAATTCAAAAATTGATAAAACAAAGATTTTGAGACATTTTCTGGATGTACTCAATCCAAACAAAAACATCTGACGTAAAAAAATTACGCCAAGTACAAATTCATGAGGATGAAAATTTTTCTTTGGTAAAGACAAGCTTGGCAATTGGAGCGGTACTCATAAGATTTTTATTTGTATTTTTGTTTTCTACATTTTGCCTCCAAATGCCAAGATTATTTTTACCAAAGAAAAACTCCTAAGAAAAATTTTGACTGTTGTCTAAATTGTCACAAATATTTACTTGGCATAATTTTTTTTATATCTGAAATGTTTTTGTTTGGATATCAATTATTTTTGTTTAATAATTGTACTGTTATGTCAAGACATAAGACAATGACATACAATTTGGTCAGAACTCGGCAACTGAACATACTGCTGACCAAATGCTCTGCCAAACAAACACACTGCCAACAGACACTTTCAATACATCATTTAGAAAAATTATTATAAAAAGTTTTAATTGGCATAAATTTGAGCTTTTGTAATTTAGAGTAACATTTTGAATAAAATTCATTTGTTTCCATGCAATTTTATCCTTATAAGCATAAAATTAAGCTGTAAAACTTAAATAGCTCTATGGAAAATTCCCATAAACTTTGACCTATCGACCCAGAAGTTTCACAAGCACCTCACTGATAACAGAAAGACTTAAGTTTAAAATTTAAGCTTTCTACATCCAGTAGTTTTTTCTTTATGAGCATCTGCAGTGCTTGATGAAGAAGAGAATACAGCTTTTTTTGGCAATTTTTGCACTTTTCGATTGCTTATATTTTTTGGCAACTGCATCACAGAAAATATTCAAATTTTGCACACTACCTAAGAAAACAATTTTCTTTTGTACAAGATATTTGGAATTACTCAAAGTGTTTGGGGGTGGAAAAATTGAACGCTAAAAATCAGCAACTCTGATTCCTGTACATATAGTCAGTCAGTGACATTTTTACTTGGTGGGGAGTCATTGCTGTGACTCCTGATAACTAAGTTTAAGCTTTCAACATCTTACATCTGTGAATACAGTAATACCCCAAACTTACGCAATAGGTGAAACAGAGCGACAACCGCGTAAGTCGAATTCGCATAAGTCGGGGTATAATTTCGCAATTTGTATAAAATCCAAGTCAGATGTATGCATGCTAATAAATGTTCTCGTTAATCTTATCTCACCTTTTGATTCGTTCACGGTTGCAAGAAATCACCACATAGAGTCTCTCAAGTTTCCATAGATATAACAAACACAGAAATAAATAACACAAAATAAATTGTAGCTATGCCTCAATTCCGCGTGACATGTCCGAACATGTAAGCTGAACAATAGTGTGGGGGGAATGAGTGATCAAGAGTTGCGTGGCAGTCAAACAAAACACGAATCGACGAGATTTGAAAATCGCATAACTCCAGGTTCACGTAAGTCGGGGTATTACTGTACAGCTAAAGGTGTAAAAATGCTAGTGTCAAAATAAATTAGACTTCTATAATTTAAAAAATATCTTTATTGTCTTGTTTATATCAGGTTGTAAATGTGAAATTTAGACATTTTGATTTTCTAGAAATGACTGAAAAAAATTTTCTAAAATGTTTGGTGTGGATATATAAAATACAATAATGAAAGGACATTTTATCAGATATTTCATTGGAAATAAACAAATTTGCACTGTCTGACAATATTAAAGTTCTGAAAAACTGTATTGTAAAAAACTTTGCATGCTCTTGCCCTATTCACTTCAAAATTGGTTACAATGCAATGAATGCTCACAATCTTGTCTGCAAAGCATTTGTTAAATGTTCACAGGTGAACAAAAGTTAACCAGTCATTTCAAGTGTCAAAAAACTAATAATAATAACAATAATGATAATAATACTAATAATAAAGTGAAAAACCTTCGCAACTCCAGTGATACTTGCTTTATACATTAGTGAACGTTTTCGACCCCATCCGGGTCTTCATCAGGCTATGTTTATGAGGAATTCGAATGCGTAAGGAACAGAACATTAAAACAAACTTTAAGCGATTCAAAATTTTGAAAAACAAAATTAGGAATAAGCACGGAGCGTTGCACACGCGCAAGCACTCATTTGCGAAACGGCAAACACAACCAAAAATAGGAAATTCAACAAATCAGTTACGGGGGTGGTTTCCCTCATAACAAAACTTCCACGCGCCCGATATCCCGACTGCATCCCTGGAATTAATGCACGTGCCGCGTAAACCTGCTTTATATATTTCAAGAGTCTCCATGGCCCTCAGTTGATCCGTACGATGAGAGATCCTGATCATACGGGCCCTTTGTAAGTCAGCCGTGATTCCCGGTTCCGTGGCAACCCTTGATAGGGCGGTGGTGTGTTTTTTATTGTCAATATCGTATTTATGCTCCCGAAGCCGTTTGTGAAGGGAGCGTTTGGTTGATCCCACATAAACCAAACAGTTGTTAAATCTGTCATCCCACATAGGGACGGTATATACCCCCTGGTGCCTGTTTCAAGTCAATTGCATCTTTTCCGTTGCAAAGCAAGTTGTAAACGGATCTAGGCCTACTGTACGCTATCTTAGTCTTGGTGATGGATGAGATTTCCCTGTATATTTTATCCAGATGGTGGTTGTACGCTACAATTTTTCTTGCACATTTATTATCCAAAGACTCCCCAAGGGAATTGGTATTGTCCCGTGTGTTTGCCTGTGTGTAAGCACAAGCAATGTTATATATTAAGTTCTTATTATACCCATGCTGTGTGGCCATTTCCTGAACTCGCCTTAGCTCAGCCATGGTGCCTTCATAGCTAGAGTGATGCATGAAAGCCCTCTTAGTTAATGCCCGAAAAGCCGCAATCTTGTATGAGTAAGGGTCCTCCGAGTTAGCTGGGATGAAGAGAGGTACATAAGACTTTTTGTAATAGACCTTGTATGTGATTACATTATTCTTAATTCCAAGGTCCAAGTCCAAAAAATGCACGGCGGTGTTGCTTTTCTGGTCCAATTTAATGCTCAGGCCATAAGGGTTATCGTTCATTAAGTTAATGAACTGTTCTATGTTGGGTTCTGTTTTCCAAATGATGATATCATCATCAACATACCTCTTGTACAGGAGGATGTTGGAAACATACACGGGGATGATTTGATGTTCCAGTCTCCTGATCACCAGCTCACATAAATCACCCGAGAGAGGGCTCCCCATGGGGACGCCCCGCTTTTGGAGGTAAGTTTTGTTATTAAAACAGAAGAAGGACAAGTAACACAATATGTGCGTTAACTCCAAGATGTGTTTTCGATGTGCGGATTGACGTATCCATCATCGATGATGGATACGTCAATAGGTTACAGGCACATGTGAAACGGTTCACACAAACAAGGTTTGCTAGAGAATGGGGGTTCAATAGGGCAGTGGTGGTGTCTCCCGGCACACCTATGCTTTTTGCCTTCGCCAAAACCCATAAAGATTCACCTGCTCTTAGGCCGGTCCTTGATAAGGCTAGATTACCTACTAGGGCATTAGAAACTGCGGTACACAAACACATACGAGACAGGATAAACAATTATCCGTGGACTATTAAGAACCCGGTCGAGCTCATTGAAACCTTGAGGAATATTAACATAACCAACTCCACTTGTATCACGGTTCTTGATTTTGTTTCTTTATAACCGTCGATCAAAATCCGGCCGTGCTTCTGCGAGTTTCGGGATTTATTACTCACCTACACCGGAGCTTACGCACATCAAAAACACATCTTGGAGTTAACGCACATATTGTGTTACTCGTCCTCCTTCTGTTTTAATAACAAAACTTACCTCCAAAAGCGGGGCGTCCCCATTGGGAGCCCTCTCTCGGGCGATTTATGTGAGCTGGTGATCAGGAGACTGGAACATCAAATCATCCCCGTGTATGTTTCCAACATCCTCCTGTACAAGAGGTATGTTGATGATATTATCATCATTTGGAAAACAGAACCCAACATAGAACAGTTCATTAACTTAATGAACGATAACCCTTATGGCCTGAGCATCAAATTGGACCAGAAAAGCAACACCGCCGCGCATTTTTTGGACTTGGACCTTGGAATTAAGAATAATGTAATCACATACAAGGTCTATTACAAAAAGTCTTATGTACCTCTCTTCATCCCAGCTAACTCAGAGGATCCGTACTCATACAAGATTGCGGCTTTTCGGGCATTAACTAAGAGGGCTTTCACGCATCACTCTAGCTATGAAGGCACCATGGCTGAGCTAAGGCGAGTTCAGGAAATGGCCACACAGCATGGGTATAATAAGAACTTAATATATAACATTGCTTGTGCTTACACACAGGCAAACACACGGGACAATACCAATTCCCTTGGGGAGTCTTTGGATAATAAATGTGCAAGAAAAATTGTAGCGTACAACCACCATCTGGATAAAATATACAGGGAAATCTCATCCATCACCAAGACTAAGATAGCGTACAGTAGGCCTAGATCCGTTTACAACTTGCTTTGCAACGGAAAAGATGCAATTGACTTGAAACAGGCACCAGGGGGTATATACCGTCCCTATGTGGGATGACAGATTTAACAACTGTTTGGTTTATGTGGGATCAACCAAACGCTCCCTTCACAAACGGCTTCGGGAGCATAAATACGATATTGACAATAAAAAACACACCACCGCCCTATCAACGGTTGCCACGGAACCGGGAATCACGGCTGACTTACAAAGTGCCCATATGATCAGGATCTCTCATCGTACGGATCAACTGAGAGCCATGGAG